TGGGGAGGGGTTCGAGAGGGAACAGTGCTGCTTGCTCTGGGCTGGCTTTCAGTCACTTCCCCACTCCCCACAAGCAAATTGGACCCTTCTGGTGCTGATTCCTGGGTGGTGGGCTTGTGTACATTCTAGGACCCTGTGGGTCTCTCCAATGAACTCTCCTGTGAGGCTGGGATTTCTTCCTGGCACCACAGTCCCCACAGGTGTTTTTAGTCAGAGGTTTTGAGGCTTTATTTTCCTGCGCTGGGACCCTGGGTTGCATGGTTTATCTTACTTGCCAGTTGTCCTCCTGGTTTATCTGCACGCGAATGTGGGACTGCCTAGTCCACCAGCTGCCGCCTTGCTGTGAGTCCTCTCTGCCCGGCTGCCCATCTCCACCCCTCCTACCGGTCTGCATGAATGTTTCTCCTTCAACTCCTTGGTTGTTGGACTTCCATACAGTTAGGTTTTTCTGGCAGTTCTGGTTGTTTTGTTTTTTAATTGTTGTTGTCCCTCTTTTGGTTGTGCAAGGAGTCACAGTGTGTCTACCTATGCCTCCATCTTGGCCTGAAGTTCCAGGATTTCTCTAGTGCCCAAGAGCTCTTCTTTAAACATTTTTGAGAGGTTCTTTTAACCAACATCCTATTATTTGATATGGTTATGTTATAGACTCTTACTTTTCTGAGACTATTTTTTGGGGGAAAGTTTTCTTCTTCTTGCATTGTTGTTTTGGTCTTCCATCTTGCCTCAGACGTCCCTAATTCGCTGTTTCCCGCCCAGGTTGAGCGAGGGTGGAAGGGCCGACTGGACACTCTGAACTCGTGGGTGGGGCTTGTGGACCGAAGGCTTCACTGCAGAGGGATTGGCTGGGCCAGTTATTTGAGGAAGCACTGATGTCAGTTTGTTAGACCTTCCTCTTAGAATGTGTGTATTCTTGGGAAAGATTACACTGCTCTTCCACCTGGAGAGTGAAGGCCTGGGTGTGTGTTCTGGGAGGCAAGTGCGGGGAAAAGCATTTGTTCACTGAATTTCCTGTTTTCAGGAAACCTTTGCCTCAGGTGTGTCTGGCATACATCCAGCTCAGAAATGCTGTTTTATCTGCTCCAGAGAATAGACACCTCTCCTGCAAAAAGAAACCCCCACTCTTTTCCCAGGGTGGGGCCGGAGTGGTTGCCCAGAAAAATAAGAATGGAGATGTGATCTGGGAATTTGTATCTTAAATGGAATTTTAATCAAATTTTTGCCAGTTTTTTCTAGAAAAGTTCTAGAAAACTTTTCTTTATCAGGTACTATAAAGCCTGAATAAAAAAGTCAGGTTAGTTCTTGACCTTTCCTGCCACTTGCACAGGGTCCACTGTTCTCAGTCCTGCTACGCTTCTGATCTCTGCTTTCCAGTTTTCCAAAAAACTTGCCCCCCCATTCTCTTCATTATTGTGGATTGATGCCTTGAAGTTAATTTCTAGGTATCCCTTTATAGCCAATTTAGCAGAATTTTGAGGACAGAGTAAGAAAAGATACATTGATTGAATCTGTCTTTTCTCCTCTCGGTGACTTTTGACTGAGGACAGCAGTTTTAAATTTGTTTTTGTTTTGTTTTTGCAGTGGAGTCCTGTGTGTTACTGAAATCTCATGCAGAAGCTCAGTATATAAAGTACCATAGATATAAACAAAGCCCTTCTGTTTGAAGAAGGGATGGTTTGAAAATCTCTGATTTAGAAGTTGGGCATGATTTATCCTCCCAGCAGATGCTAGACATTCAAGTGAAGATTATAGCATTATGAGAGGAATATTGGTTTATTCCATTAGAGATTAATTTCATTGCTTCCAATTTCACAAATGGTGCAAGACAGAGAAAGAGCTTGTGCTAGAAGTTTTTGAATTGAAATAAAATTGGACTCTAACTTTAAAATGCTCTTTTTTATTTGAAAGGAAAGCACGTAAACTTACCTGAATACTGAACAATATTTAACTGTACTTTAACATTTTGATAATTGCGAATGTTGGAAATTCTCAAATTCACTTTCAGAAAGCTAAAATTCTGCTTTATACTGTATTACTATTAGATCTAATATTTTATCCACAATTACTTACCTGAGTATATGACTGAGAGGAGGTCTATAGGGCCAGAAAAATAAATATTTAGAGCTTTTTATACAGGAAAATGATGATTAAATTTGCATATGATTTAGTTTATATTTATGTGCAATCTAGCCATTAAAAACATTATTTCTGCCCAGTGTGGCTCAGCTGGTTGGAGCATCATCCCCCTAACTGAAGGGTTAGATTCCTGGTTAGGGCACATACCTAGGTTGTAGGTTCCATCCGTGGTCCAGGTGCAGACGATCCCCAGTCTGGGCATGTATGGGAGGCAACCAGTTGATTCTTCTCTCAGTGATGTTTCTCTTTCCCTTCCCATCTTTCCTTCCTCCTTCTGTAAAAGCCATGAAAAAATGTCTTTGAGTTAGGATAAAAAAATTTCTTTTTAAAAATCACTTCCTTCTTCTTTTACCTGGAAAAAGGTGGTAGTAGGGTAATCCCCCTTATTTGCAGGGGGATTTACTTCTAAGACCCCTAAGTGGATGCCTGCAACTGTGGGTGGTGCCGAACCCTATGTACTGTTTTTTCATATACAAACGTATATACTTTATGGCTTCTCTTTGGCAAATCCAAGTTTCTAGCATCACTGGTCTTGCACTTTGGGGCTATTTGAGCACAAAGCACTGTGGTACTGGGACAGTCAATCCCAGATGATGTCTAAGTGGCCACGGGCAGGTCCTGGACACAGGGTGGAGCACTGGACAAAGGCATAGTTGATGTCCTAAGCAGGATGGAGCAGAGCAGGACAAGATTTCATCACACTATTCAAACAGCATGCAACTTAAAACATACAAATTTTATTTCTGGAATTTTACATGTAATATTTTCAAACCACACTTGACTGTGGTTAACAAACCACACAAAAGCAAAACTGAGGGTAAGGTGGGGGTACATATTCACACACAGCGTGCCACTCAAAAGCCCAGTAAAGGATGGACACCAAGATTTACAAACCCTGCCATGTGACATATATATTTTTACATGCCTGTAAGATGACCCAATTGATTTTTAAATGTAATAAGAGGAAATAAAACAAACTCATGAATGGAGATAAAAAAAAATCCTTTACTAGTAGAGAGAACCAAGTGCAAGTAGGTCTTTCCAGAACTGTCCACTCAAGATCCAGCTTTCTGCTGTGACTCGTTTGACACCAGCATCATCTCACAAAGGACTCAGATATCGCCCTACAAATACTGCCATTTGTGCTACAGGAAAAGATTCATCAGCTTCATCTGCAGGCATGAGACACCTTTAGAAAAGAGACACATGACCCGAACTCTTGTGAGAAATTCCTAGTACGTTGATAGCTATTGCAAAGTGGAAGGACTTGAGAAAAAAAACACCCAAAAATGGAAAGCCTTGTCCTTCTTGTGGCCTCTTTTGGTGGCTGACTATGGATGGGACATAGCCCTGTCTAAGACATACCTGGTGGAGCACCAAGGGATGGAGGGGCAGGTGCGCGAGGAAGGGGACTCGCTCAGCTTCCTTGTGGAGGAGCACTGAAGCAGGAGAAAGCATGGACTCTGCAGAGAACTGTTATTGGTAGAAAAGGGAGTCACGGGACTGCGCCCTGCAAACTGTATGCTCTGATGACGGTGCATGTCACGTGGAGGTTGCCTGTGAGCACAACAGGGCGTGTGTGCCACGGCCTCGACTTGCTTCTTGAGGACATCGTGAAGCTGGCGTTTTGCCAGAGGGTTCGAAGAGCTGAAGTGTTGTGAAATACGCAGAAGCCACTCGCTGCTGCTGTCTTCAAGAAGCCAGGTGAAAAAATGAGAGAAGAATTCAGTGAAGCCACTGAAGCTAAGCTGCAAAAGCAGTGATCGGACTGGACTATCTGCTCTTTGATAGTCTTTGGAAAGTTCCCTGAAAATGAAGCAGCCCTTCAAGCAAATGCTGTGTTTGAGAGGTAGCGGGAGCTCTTTTTCCTGAGGTCTCCACTGTGCATGTTTACCCTTGTTTACATTTCTGTGTGTGTGTTTTGGTGGCCTATACAGGGTTTTTATTTCTCTTTAATCTTTCAGGCTTAGACCTCTCACCTGTGGAATCTCGAGTGAGACCATGCAAAGACGTGTTGGGGAGTGGGGAATGTGACTCCAGGATCTTTGACATCAGAAGAGGGGACTCCCTTCGCTGGTTCTCCACCCACACCTCTGCTTTCTTCTATTCTCCCCTCTCCCCCCTGTCTCCCCTTTTGCTTTTCCTTTTCTCCATGCATAGGCATGCCTGCCTTTTACAGCCCTCCTTAGCTGGGCCTTTCCTCATGGCTCCCCGAGCCAGGGGTGGCTGATCTGAGCCAGTGTCACTTTGTGTGGTTGGTGGTGGAGGCAAAATGTAACATGTGTAAAATGACTTGGTAAATGGCAGGGTTGGTTGGTATTATCTTAAGCAGTGTTAATTGTTATAGCGTGTGGCTCGTCCTGCGTCCTACATGAAGCAGTCTCCCCCCCACCCCCGGGGATTGCTGGGAGCTCTGTTCCGAGCTCTCCTTGTACCACTCACTCTCGCTTCCCGGCTCCCACTGTGATGCCCCTTGGGTCTCCGATGGCCTCTGCTCCCTGTCTCTGTCTTTCCCTTCTTTTCCTGATGACTTATCTACTACTTTTCTTACTTCCTCAGAGACTTATTAGGAACAGATTAATTTTGGTCAGTTTTCAGTCACCCCTGGAACCTCTGTTTTGTCCACATTTTCTAGCATGTGGCTCTGAAAAAGAACAGGCAAACACAGCTTATGCAAACAGAGACAGGATGCCGTTGAGCTGGGAGTGATTTGCCTGCGAGGGGAAATCACGGGGATCCTCTTTTCAAATCCTGGAGGTCTGGGGGTGTTTGCTGGCTGCTAGGCTTTTGCATGAATCCAAGGAGAGAGCTTTGTGGATCTCCGGTGTCAGGAGAGTGGCTCGGCCAGGTCGGCTGGTCCCCTGTGGATGTGTCTCAGCACTCTCCGGCTGAAGCCGAGTCTGAGCAGGACCTCCCTGGGGAAGGTGTCCTCCTGGCCTTTCTTGGTCTCCGTGGTCGTCTTCTCCCTGGAGTCGTTGGCTGCAGTGTTGCAGAGTGGCTTTGGGGTTGCTGTGCTTGGCAGGGAGTGGGTGCGGCGCCAGACACTGCCCGCAGGCGATGGGACTGTGGCCTTCTTGGCCACCTCCCACTTTGGCCTGCATGGGGTGGCCCTCCTGAACAACCTCCTGGCCTCCCTTGAGTTTTGTGCCAGAGCTGACTATTTCAGCATCCCCTGGGCCTTCACTACACTCTCACTTTCTGGCCTACTGCCCCGCCTGCTGTCTTCTGCTGTGAAAAGATCTCACTCATTCTCCTCCACCTCCTCCTCTTCCTGCTCAAGGGGAGGATTTCTCCATCAGTGCTCAGGCTGCTGCTGAGCGACCTGACCCTATCTGGTCTGATGGTCATCTCATCAGCCACCCAATACAATTCTGGTGCTAACAGTTGCCTCCCCGAGTTCCCATCAAAACGGCACCCTGGCTGATAGAATATAGACCTTCTATTGGCACGTTTTCCTACCCCATCTGGTACTGGTGGCCTTAGTTCCCTTCCTCCTGTTCTGGTGTGCACCCTCTTGCTCATGTTCTCTTACGTGAACCCTCTGCTGCAGCCAAACTCACCTCGCTCCCTGGACAATAATCACACCCCCCCTCCTTTACTGATGCCATGCCTCCTTCCTTCCAGCATGCCAGGCAGCGTCTTTGTGGTCCCACTGTGAAGGGGCTGCGGCTGAACTCTTCTGAGAATTCTTTGGATGGGAATAGGATGACATGTGACATTTAGAACCACAGGCATTTGGAATCTTCCCCTTTTTTAATTCCTCTGAGACAGAGTACTGAGTTGAGTGTTTTCCCATATGGAGAACCTACTTAGGATTCCTACCTCTACCCCTCTCGTGGTTTCGCTTACAAAGATTGACTGTGAACATTTTTACATTCAGACTTGGCTTCCACTTAAGAAGATAAATCTGAATATGAGAGAGCAAAATGCACCGAACAAATAAAAGAAATCACCAGAAAACACAATGCATGTTTTAAATACAAATGGTTATTCCCCCTTTCCAGTAAATGTTTGTGGTTTATGATTAGTGCGTGAAAGCACTGCGAGAGAGGATACCTAGTTCATTGTTGTAGTCCCCAGTGCCTTGCACAGGGTCATTATCACGGACAGGAAGTGCTTAGTAAGTTTTTAAATGGACAGAAGATTAACTGTGTACATTGCCCATTGTATCAGCCAATGAAGATGTAGAAGGTAGATGGGAGCAGATGAGTTTTCCATATGGAGGATTTTGTGGCTGGCCAAACTCTACAGCTAAGAACCCAAAGTTTGAGTCATTGCTCCTAGTTCCATCAGGGAACAGCCCGATGTCATCCGGAGGAACAAGGGCAGGGGAGAGAGCAGCTGGGAACTCTGTTCCCTGGAGATATGCATCAAGCAAGGTGGAACAAGCAAGTGAGTTACCTTAATTCACCTTCGCTTTCCCCAGGAGTGCCGTGCTCACTGTAGAGCTCAGCCTCTGTGTTGGAGGGACGATCCCACCTGCACCTTTGTCCTAGGTAGACTGGGAACTGGAAAGGGATGCTGGGTGGTCTGTCCTCTTTGTGGGCTCCATGCCAGGAACTGGTGAGATAGGATGCTAGCCAGGAGGTGAGTGTCCTATGGGGTGCTCCCTGGCTCTCACTTTGCTTCCTCCTGAGCGTTTATCGCCATATTCGACTCAGAACAATTTCTGCAACACACTAACCTGCTTACTCTCACCCGAGTGAGTAGGCGCTCACCTGATTGCTGGCTGACTGACTGTGTCTGTTTGTTTATTTATTACTCTTTGAACTCATTCCTGTGGAAAATGTGGTCTTTGCTTACTCTGCCTTTCTCTGGTAAAGGAGATGGCCTACCATTTGGTTCACTGGACCTGTGCTGCACCCCTGATGCTCTCCTGGATTCTCCTTGGACTACTTTTGACTACACAGGATAGATGGAATGAAAGATAGTCATTATAATAACAGTTATCATCTCCTTAGTTATTTCTTATGCGTGTGCCGAGATTTATAGTGTCTGCAGGGGCGCACCCTGTGGATTTCCTCACCAGCTGCCAGGAGATAGAGGATCATGGCTTAGGTGTCAGCTGTAAGAAGTATCAACTGCTCTGTAAGGGACGCCAAATGGGAGGGCCTGATGTGTTATCCACGTGAGTGTTCCACACAGGCCGAAAACTGGCAGAGAAAGAGCAGGCAAATTCGCGGGCAGGTGAGAGGACTTTCGAATCTGAGCCTTCACGTTATTTGCATCCATTCTGAGAAGAACTCTTTGTTGCTCCTCAGATAGCTGCCCCCCGCCCCCTACTCTGTCCTCTGCATTTGGGGCAGCTGGAGAGCCACTCATCATCCAGGACCTTTCAGGGCAACAGGGCAGGAATAGACCTGGAAGTCTTGGCACCCCCCTGGTCCACAGGGGAGCTGCATGGGGGCGTGGTTCCGGGACTTCCGGTGGTGGATGAGAGCGCCATGGTCTTGGATATCGTTTCATTCCCTCTGTGCCTGGAGGCCGTGGTGAGCAACGGCTTGATCGCTGCGGCACTGGGCGTGCAGTGGCTGCTACGGAGAGCACTGTCACCTTGTGATAAGTTACTGATCAGCCTGGGGGCGTCCTGCTTCTGTCTGCAGTGGGTGGTGATCGGTGAGAGAATTTGTTTTCCTGTGTCCAAAGGCCACCCCGTCCAACCCTGTACTCCAGTTCCTAGCCTTCCAATGGGACTTCTTCAGTGCTGCCACCTTCTGGTTTTCCAGCTGGCTCAGTGTCTTCTACTGCGTGAAAATTGCAACCCTAACTCACCTGCTCTTCCTCCGGCTCAAGTGGAAGGTGTCTGGGCTGGTTCCATGGATGCTGCTCAGCTCTGTGGGGCTCTCCACGTTGAGCACCATCTTATTTTTCATAGGCAACCAACGCATCTATCAGAAGTACTTCAGGGGAGGTCTGCAGTCTCAGAATGTCACTGGGGACGCTATTAGGAGAACATACGAGAAATTCTATTTCTTCCCTCTAAAAATTGTTGCCTGGACAGTCCCTGCTGTTGCCTTCCTCTCTGGCATGGTTTTGCTGATCACATCTCTGGGAAGGCACGCCAGGAGGACCTTCCTGCCCATCTCGGGCTCTCACGACCCCAGTGCCCAGGCGCACATCAAGGCTCTCCTCATCCTCGTGTCCTTCGCCATTCTCCTCACCTCCTCTTTTCTGTCACTGGTGCTCAGCGCTGCAGGTGTTTTCCCATCTCGGGAACTGAAGTGGAGGGTGGTGGCTTATCTGTGCACAGCGGTCCACCCCGTCATCCTGCTGGGGAGCAACCCCAGGCCGAGAGCCACGCTGGGGAGGGGCCACTCCTGAAGGTGGGGGCATCTTGAGTTGCAATAGATGAAAACCCTCAGACTCGAATGCGGAAGGCATGGGGACACTCTTCATTCACTGTCTTTCGGGATGAGGAGAAGAACTTCAGTACAATAGGAATTCCAAGGTGAGATTGCAGGTCCTGAGACGGGCTAGTGTCACTGATTCCCGCTCAGCAGGGGGTGTCGCTGTTCCAGCTGTGTTCCTGTGGGACTCTTACTTTCCCTGTGATGTATCCCTTGGTGTTTAGAATGATCCTTCTGAAAACTGGATGCAAGGCTCCCGACACATCGTGCAGTGCTTATCTGTGGAGTCGGACTAGAGGAGATTGATGGAACTTCAGTTGTCCTCTGGCTTCACGCTGGAAATCCTCTGTCCTTTTCTGTCACTTAAGTGTTTCCCAGCCGCCACCTGCAGTGAAGCTCTCCGTCCTTCTGAGCAAGAGCGCCTGGTGTCTGAATTCCGTTCAGAGCGTGGTGGAATTCCTGCGTGTGCGGCAGGGAGTGTCATCTGGGCCTTCTGGTCTTCATGTTGTTTGTATCCTCCTCTACAGCCCGGTCTGTTAGTCGGTTTGGTCAATGTCGAGGTCCACGGACCCAGACGTGGTTTCTTTTATGCTGACGTTGGGACCTACTGAAATGTTGACGTGGGGAGTTTCCCCTACATCTGCCCGACCTTTGGGATTTAAGAAGAACAAGAGCCCTGGCCTGGTCTGGTGAAGGGCGAGGCTGCTTTTCTGCCCGCCACAGATCTTCTCCGACCTTCAAACGGAGATCCCTGAGCTTCCTCTGTTGGCTTTAAAATCTCTCAGTCTCGTTTCCTCTGTTCCCTCCCCCACCCCTCTGCACTGGGAGACACGCCCTGCTTTTGGCTTTTCAAGGTTTATTTTCTGGTCCCCACTCAAAAGAGCCACTTCTGCCTGAATCTGCAACCTTTCCCTCTTTTACTGTCCTTCCCTTCTTCAACAAAGGTACCTCTTTTTTCCTGGGAAAAAAAAAACCCACTTGGCTTTCTAACCCACTCAAGTGATCATTCTGCCAATTAGTCACTTGCCCAGAGTGCCCCCACCCCACCCCACCCCACCCGACCTGACCCCATGGCCCATATAGTCCTCTTGCTTCTGCTCCCCATTCTGTTGACACGTGTTTCTAAAGGACACGCACGAGTTCCTGATCTCTCCCTGTGATACCGTCCTCTGCCCTCATCCTGCTGTGTCTCTGTAGTATTTGCTTCTCTTGATAACAAATTATTTCTTTAAAAAACTGGCTACGAATATTTTTACAAAAGTAATACCCGATGTTGGCAGGAGATATTTGGAAAAGGAAAGTAAATACCACCCATACTTGCCCATCTGCGTGTCCTCCTGAGTGGCCGCCTTCTCTTGGCTCCTGCCATGCCGCACTGGGGTCTCTTCCCCAGCCAGCAGTGCTGCTGCGTCTCCCTCCCTCTCCCCCATCTGCCTGCCCTGCGGGGTTCTCCTTAGCTAGCCCTCTTTTGTCTTTCAGATTAATGTGCTCCTGTTCCTTGGGGCTTACATCTGCTTACATAGCTTTAGTTCTGACCTTCACGTGAGTCGTTACCAAAGCCTTGACCTTCCTCAAAACTCTAAACCTGTGTTTTTCTTTCTGTTGCTGGGCATTTGCACCTGGTGGTACTGGTGAGCACTTCAAACTCAGCAGGTGCAAAAATCTGTCCTCTTCCTCCTCCTCCTCCTTTTCCCTTACCAGCCCCTCCACCACTCAGTCAAATCTGTTTTTTCTGTTCTTGATACCCACCCAGTGAAGCAGGCTTACAGTCTCGGCGTCACTTGTCACTCCCCACTCTACACTGAGTCCTTCTGCCTAGTCAGCAGCTGTCTTCAGTTTCGTGTCTGTTATCTGTCCTTTTCTTCCCCTTCCTGTGGACCCTATTTTAGATTAGACCGTCCTCCTCTCTGCTTAAACTTCTTCACCACTTGCTCCATTACACTCTCCTCTCCCACCGCACCGCACCCCCCTGCCCCCGCCATCAAAACTACCATCACTAGATGAATCTGCTGAAGGCGTGACTCTGACCATTTCACCCACACCTCATCCCCTCTCAGTGCTTATCAAATAAAGCATGGTCCCTAAAGTTGGCATCGAAGGACCTCCAAAATATGGCAATAATTGTATCTCTCACTGCGGCCATTCCAGTAGAACCCTATTTTGCAACAGGATTTGGGTTATTATTGTTTTGGACATACCCGGAGATTTCGCCCTGACATGCGGACATGTGCTCTTCGCATCTGTTGAAATTCTGTTTAGTCCAACCCCCTGCCGTTTGTCTCTTAGAGGTTAACTTAGCCAGAGGTTCCTCCTCAGGGAGCTTTTCTGGATGCCCCCCACCCCCCAAGCCTTAACTGTCTCCTACCTTTGAGGATGTATACATGGGTGTTGCTTAGTTGTGACATGAATTCTGCTTTGTGGTGGGATGATCTGGATACTGGTTTCATTCTCCCCAGTAGATTTTGAGGTTCCCAAAGGCATGGGCCACCTCACAGCCTTCCACGTGCTCCCAGAAGCACTAATAAATACCATTCGTGCCCCATTGAACAGAATGATTCTGCTGCACATGGGACCCATCTGTGAGCACCTGCCCTGTTGTCTGCGTGTTTATCTACCGACTACGTTTTGATGCTTATGCTTGATTTGCATTCCCTTCACTGGCTGGCTGGCTGGCTTGTTTTTGGAGGTCAAACTTATATTCTGTTTCTCTTGGACTTATGTACAATGTGGAAATAATAAGTGGGTAAGTGAGAGTAAAATTTGCCTGGTTTTGCTCTGCCTTGACTTCTGTCCTTTGTTGAGCATTTATATGTTGCTAAGCAACTGTGAACCGCAAGCTTTTAGCCCCTTCTTGTGGGAATCCAAGTGAAGCCTGACTTCTTCCTCTTTGTTACTAACCCTGGCTCCCTTTCTAAAGAACCTTCTATAAGCTTCTCTGCTCCTTTCACTCCTCACCTCATTAGCCCAGAGAACAGAACATCCGAATGAAGAGTGATCTGAATGAACTCCCCACACGTCGCCTTGGAGCTTGAATACATGGAAAATAAAAGAAAAGCAGGGTTTGTTGTATTTTAAAAATACCTAGTAACTTATTATCATTACTTTTTGCTTGCAGTCTAATGTCATCACGCTTTATGATAGTATTAGTAAAAATCACATGTGAGTGCCTATTTTGTGTGAGGCATGGGGCTAAACAATGTATTTACTTAAATGCTGTCTATACTTAGTTCTTAAAACAATGCTGCGAAGTGGAAGCTGAGGCTTAGAGTTGACGGCCAAGGTCTCACGACGGCCAGGGAACGATAGAACGGGGCTACTTCAGTGCTGTGTATCTTAAAACAGCGCGGCATTGATGCGAGAGGAGGTGAGTCCATGCGGGTACTACAACTGGAAAATTAAAAAATTAAATTAAATGCCACATTTTATCATAAATTCCAGATGAATTCTAAAGACCGATCATCTTTAATTTAAATGTTATTTAGTTCTTAAAAAGCCCTCCTTTTTGGATAATTCAGTTTCTCCCAGACTTCAAGTTCCTTCAAGTTCTACAGAAATGTCGGCCGGCCTCGCCCCGCCCTTTAGATGGTGTGTCATTGTACAGGGAAGTGTGCACACACCCTTCAGCTCTCACAGGTCAGAGAAGCCCTGTTTTCCTAGGCCTTCTTTAAAAATTTTTTAATATATATTTTTAAACTTACTGATTTTTAGAGAGGAAAGGGGAGGTAGGGAGAAAGAGAGAGGGATTTGTTGTTCCACTTATTTGTGCATTCATTGGTTGATTTTTGTACGTGCCCTGACCAGGGATCAAACCCACAGCCTTTGCATGTTGGGACGAAGCTCTAACCAGCTGAGCTACCTGACCAGGTCTTTTTTTCCTTCCTTCCTTCTTTAAATGTTTTTTAAATTTTATTTGTTTATTTTTAGAGAGAGGGGGAGGGAGGGAGAAAGAGAGGGACAGAAACGTCAATATGAAAGAGTAACATTGATTGGTTGCCTCTCCCAAGTCCTGAACCTGGGACCCAGCCCTCAACTCAGCCATGTGCCCTGACTGGGAATTGAACCTGTAACTTTAGGTTTTCGGGACATTGCCCAACCCAATGAGCCACACCGGTCAGGGATGGGTAGGGCTTTATTAGGCCTTCCTAAGTAATACTTAAAAAATCAGGTCATAATGGAAATAACTGGCAAATTGACTATAGAAAAGTTTAAACCACTTCTTTTTTCAATGAAAAGATACTGTAAATGTAGGCATCACTGAAGGTTTGTTTTTTTTTCCCCCCAATTTTAAAGCACACACAATAGGATGTATATACTGAGTTTTTCAGACTGTAAGACACACCGGACCAGAAGACTCACTTAGGTTTTAGAGGAAAATAGGAAAAAAAATTTTAAAGCAAAAAAAATGTGTTAAAGTATTTAATAACATAAATAACATAGGCTGCTGCCCCTCCCCACCCCCTACAGCAAGCCAGGTAAGCTACATTCGAACTATAAGACGCACCCCGCTTTCTCCCAAATTTGGGGGGAGTGCATCTTATAGTCCAAAAAATATGGGTAGATGATTAAGGGTCAGCTTAAAAAAATGAATAGTTTATTCTTTTTTATTACATTACAGCTTAATTTTTCCTATAATCTGAACCATAATCTAGCTATCTCTTTTATGCTTACACAGACAATAAAGTTCCTTTTATTTCTCTTAATTTTTCTTCCAAAAATACTGTTTGTTAATGGTGTTATTCATTGTGAAATAATAAAGTAGGAGATGGGGATCTTCTAATTAAAATACTACACTGAATATTTATCCTTTATCATTTATTTTTACAAAAATATGAACTATAGCAATTTTCAAAGCAGTAAAGATAGCACAAATGGTCAAAAGAATTAGAAACTTTAAGTATAAAGGATGAGACTATGAATCAGATAAGAAAGATAAAAATTAAAGTACAAGTAACAGACTGTCAGAAAATACAAACA